GTGAGTACTTTTACTTAAAAAAATACTTTAAAGTAAATTTAAAAGTAAATACTTAGTACTTTCACTTAAGTAAGATTATTGATGTAGCACTTCTACTTTTACTTGAGTACATATTTTGCAGGATATTTGTACTTTTACTTAAGTACTAAGCTTCAGTACTTCCTCCACCACTGCTGTTAAGGCAAATTCGATCTGAGGAAAAAAATCGGAATTGAACAATGAGGCTTGTAATGTGAACATAGCTTATGTGACACCCACAGTATATTGTACCCCTGTGTGTGACCCTGCTTTGACAACCATGTTTTAGGTCATGGATCAGCTCAGCAACTGCTCAGTACTTCAGCACCTAGACCTTTCTGACAACAACATCTCTCAAATCGGTGACCTTTCCAAGCTCTCCATTTTGAAGGTCAGGAGGCAGTGCTCGTTGTCTGAAAGAAACCCATAGTCTGGGCACGGTCTGTGTTTGACATGTCATATGTACCATAGACACTCCTCTTGCATGGGAATATCATCACTACACTACGCACTGGCCCGGCCCACCTGCCTCCCAGCCTCCATGTTCTCTCCCTCGCTGAAAATGAGATCAGAGACCTTAATGAGGTAACAGAGACACTCAGGCATGTTACTTAAGTAATTTTCTGCCCCTCACTCAATCACTTTGTATACTTTGGCCCTTTAAGGTGTCCTACTTGGCATCCCTTCCAGAGCTGGAACAGTTGTCTGTCATGAGTAATCCCTGTGTGTTGTCCACACCATCCTTGCCTGGATACGACTGCCGGCCATACGTCATCAGCTGGTGCCTGAGTCTGAAGATCCTGGATGGATACATAGTGTCACAGAAAGAAGGGTAAATGTCTGTAAATGGCCATACTGTTCCATATACCTGTACACCAGTACACAATTGCTCTGCTCTTTATTTAAGGCTAAAAGCAGAGTGGCTCTACAGTCAGGGTAAAGGTCGCTTGTTCCGGCCTGGGCAGCATGTGCAGCTGGTACAGTACCTGGCTTCTGTCTGCCCCCTCACCTCTGCCTCTGCACTCCAGTCTGCAGAGGATGCTAAACTGGAGAAAATTCTTAGCAAACAGAGGTGAGTGAGTGTGGATCCCAGAATGCCATGCTTATGGTGTAATGTGATGGTATCCCAGAATGTTGTGTGTTTATACCATAGGCTTCATCAAAGTCAGCTGCTGCAGCAGACCCAGAGAGTATCCCAGAACCCAGCACGACCCATGCAGCTGGATGTAGAGCAGCAGCACCCTCGCCATGCCCAGCAGTCTGGGCTGAAGGATAGGCTAGCCACACCTGAGGCAGGGGTGTCCAGGAAGCAGATAGGTGTGTGTGACAGCAGTCCTGCTCAATCCTATAAAACAAGCAATAAGTTTCTGTCAATCTCTATGTACATGCTGTAGTGTTTTTTTTTTTTTTGTGAATTCCACAAAGGCTGTTATTTGCATGAAAGCTTCTGATTGTTTTTTTTTTTGTCTTTTATATATCTGCATAAGTTCAACAAGAATCTCTTTATTCTTCTCTTTCTGTGTTTGTGTCTTTGTGTACTTGTCTTCAGCTGAGCCAGCTTTAAAGGTGAACACATGGGTGGCAGGTGATCATTCCTACAGTATAGCCCCTTGTGGTCCCGCCCCCGCATCTTGCGGGGAGACACTGTACCTGGAGGATGTGCAAACGGATGAGGATAAGCTCAGCTTCAGCCTACTCTCCTCTGACACTGCCTTACTGCACCCACCTGTGACCATGCCATCCACAAAGAAAGAGCTGGATAAGTCTGACTCCTTAGCTGCTGAAAGCACAGGCGCAGGGACTGGCCAGGGGTATCCTTACACAGAACCTGAAAAAGAGCTGGTCCTAGGTGACTGCTCAGATTGCACCGTCGTGGAAGTAAGCGTGCAACAAGCACAACGTTGTGAGGCTGCAGAAGCTGCGCTGAAGATCCAAGCATGGTGGCGTGGTTACTGGACCCGACGGCACCATCTGCAGGCTAGAGAGGTCCGGGCTGAGATCCGACTGCGCAGGATGCAAGAACACATTACCTTCCTTTCGGCCGAGCTGGAATGGTGAGCAAATTTTTTTTTTTATTGGAGAGAAGTTTCTCTTACTCGCAAAGCAGTACGATTTCACTATCAATCTTCTTTGATTTTGCAACCCAGTTGCTCTAAAGCACTTAAATTAACAAGAGCACAAGTCTATTTAAGTAATATAGTATAGGAGCAGATACATGCAGACTGTCCTCTTGAGCCGAGGAAAGAACTTCAGTGCAGGTGGATTTGGCTTTATTAATTTGCCCATAGTATATGACTGGGCATGTGAGTGTATGTGTGCTCTTTGATGGTCTGACATCCCATCCAGTGTGTACCACAGTTCTGTGCCCCATGCTGCTTAGGTTAGTCCAGCCCCTAGTTAAATCTGGAAGTGATTAAATTTTGAGACAGACACCACAATATTGAAGCAGCATTACATAGTGATATCAAAGAAAATAACAGTTTTGACACTAGGTATTTTTACAGCAATAACTGAAAAGGTATTTAAAGAATCTTTTTCAATTTTTTTTTTTAAACGTAAAACA